GTTATTACGAATTTGGGGTTTTTTAGAGCGTTGAAAAAGCCTTGGGAGGGGGAAGCATACTTGTTACGAATTTGGGGGCTGGAAGCATTTTTCCCTTTTTTTAATCAAAGTGTTGTAGAAGTCAATAGGAATCCATGATTAATTCGTAGGCCATGATCCATCCATGACATTAATAAGAAGATGAAGACATGAACCTAGAAAATCAGGAAAGATGAAATGTAAGAGTTCTATGTAACTTTTATAGAACTCAATAGGAATCCATGATTTTCTATAGGAATAAACAAAACATTGAGATAGTTCCCCTGTGAAAGTCTACGACATTTTATGAGATTTGTTAGTCAAAAGTTTATTGCTGGATTTAGTTAAATGAAGGGTGAGACTTGAAATAACGCATTTGCTCTCCTCTCTACTGACACAACATGCGATAAGATAATGAACTTGAAAGCGTTGCAGAGAAATGCTAAAGTGAACCTTCAGCAAACCAACATGTATTACTCAGTAAGGGGAGGGGAGGAGCATGAGTTCAGTATAGCAGCTTCGATCATAAACCTGATATCACAAATTATGCACGATTTGCAGGTAGAAAGGTAGAATTTCGTCGAAAAAACCAGACTGACGAGTTTTCACTGCCTCGAATTAAAATAGATACACTGCAGATTGGCTAAGTTAATGAAGACTTCCTTAATCAACAATAACTAAGAAAAGCACAATGATCAAGCTTTTGTTTCTAAGAGGCCAAATTATTAGTTGAGATGGACAAAGGGAGATATTTCACAATAGCTAACTTACTTGCTAGGTTCACATAAAAGAACCAAATCTGTTTCAAAAATTCTACTACAAATCTCTAGGCTCAAAAAGCAAGTATAGATAATAATAACCCAAAATAGTATCCTCCAAAGAATAATACAACCCTGCATTCGAATCCTCGCAATATTTCCCAACTTAGATTTAGCCTACTAGTTCCTAAATGGACAAATTTTTAAAAACAACCTTTTCATAATATTAATTGGCAAAATCGACCGTTCAAGAAAATAATTGGCAAAGGGTCGATTTTGCTGTGAAGAAACTTTGTTGAAGTGCACGGGACTACTAGTCCCGTGCATCTCTCTCCTCTCTCCTACCCCCATCCCACCTGGCCATCTCTCTCTCTCGTCACTCACCTCCCCCTCTTTCCCTACGCCCCATCCCTCCCAGCAGACCCCTCTCATTCCCTCCCACCTCCACTCCAAAATCAACGCGCCGTTCACTCCACTCCCTCAACTCTAAGAAATCCATACTCCCTCTCTCACCACCGCCAGAACCACCTTCACAAGCACCCACATCCTTCACCCGTGAGCTCCGCCCCAAGATGCTGAGCGCCACCAATACCGGAGCTCCGCCGCCGACCGCACTACCACTTCGTTGTCTCCTCCATCGCCGCAAAACTCTGCACCGACGCGCCCGTGCTAAAGGCTCCGACCGAGACTGCTCCCCTCGCCAACGACGAAGCCCAGCACCGTCGAACCCAAAGCTCTCACCGCCGTCACGCCGCCTCTCGCCCAAGCTCCGCTCCCTCCTCGAGCTTCGAGCTCAGACCTGAGCATGACTCGAGGCTCTGCCCTCGCCAGGCCGAGCCCTCCGACCGACGTCACCGAGCCACGCTCAGCTGCAGACCCGACTCCATCACCAGCCGTCGTTATCACCACGCCAACAAGAGCGGCGTCGATTTGGTTGTGAGGTGGGAGGGGAAGGTGGGAGGGTATGCTTGGGGAAGGGGATGGGGGTTATGGCGACAGAGGGGGAGGCTGAGTGAGGAGAGAGAGAGATGGCTAGGTGGGATGGGGGTAGGGAGAGAGGAGAGAGATGCACGGGACTAGTAGTCCCGTGCACTTCAACAAAGTTTCTTCGCATCAAAATCGACCCAAAAGGGTCGATTTTGCCAATTATTTTCTTGAACGGTCGATTTTGCCAATTAATATTATAAAAAGGTTGTTTTTAAAAATTTGTCCTTCCTAAATCGAGCTTCTGGTCACTATGGATTCAGATGATACAGTGTACTAGTACAAAGCTGAAAACTTTAGAAACTTTCACACTTAATCTTTGTGTTTTTTTCATTCCGATAAGCTAGTAAATGTTCGAGGCATCTCTTAAGAAAAGAGATTTAAGCTTCCATCCATTGGTGTATAGACTCTTGGGGTGTTTGTTTCAAAATAATTTTGGCATTTGGGTGGGATTTCAAATTCTAGGATCAAAAAGTGGGGTTTTTTTGGGGTTTTAAAATTCCATAAAACTTGTTTGTTTCAAAACAAATTTTAGAATATCAAATACCCAAATAATAAAAAAATATTATATTTAAGGATTTGTGAAATCCTCTTTTTTGGGTGGGATGTGGGGTGACCCAAATAATAAAAAAATATTATATTTAAGGATTTGTGAAATCCTCTTTTTTGGGTGGGATGTGGGGTGGATTTCAAAAGTGTTAGATTTAAGGATTTGTGAAATCCTCTTTTTTGGGTGGGATGTGGGGTGGATTTCAAAAGTGTTAGACAAATTCAGGATTTCAAATTCCAAAAAGTTTGAAACAAACAAAAATATTACAAATTATAGTATTCCAAATTTCAAAATATTGTTGAAACAAACAAAGTTTTAGGAATCTCAACCCATAAATTTCAAATCCCATATGGTGAAATCCATATCCTAAAATTATAGAATTTGAAACAAACACCCCCTAACTTGCGCTTCTAATGAGCTTGCTCTAATGTCCTATCGAGACATCGTAGTGACGATAGACTAAATATGTATGAACATATTATCTTTTATTTCCCTAACCACCACTTATATTACATAATCCTATTGTAAGTTTAACCAATGATGCCCCATATAGTATATAGTTCATACTAGTCCTACTAACTAGAACCATTACGAGCCCATACAAATTCATCCATCCAAGACATTCCTTGTCATTGCATTGCATCCCAACATCAAATGGCGAGGGGAAAAAAACAACTACATAAGAAACAATTACACACTAACAGCTACACCCAAAAGCAACTCCAATCAAAGAACCGAATTAGAACGAAGAAGGAACTGCCGACCAAAGAAATTTAGAGAAATCCGCAGCAAACTGAGAATGGAAGAAGTAAAATCCTTACAAACCCATGTTGATATTGCCCAAAACATCCAATGTCTTTGATTACGCCTAGCATCGAATAGGAAGGGGGGAAATAATTGTAGATTGCAGAGAACCTTCTAACGTCTACACACCCTTATCGTCACCCTTCAACTATTTTACTAGCATAGCACTCGCTAAATCATGAGGGGGGAGAGGAGGTCCATCTGCAATTTATTTTTAAGGGTGCTAAGTGTCAATAAAATAGTTGAGGGGCGACAAATGCCACTGAACGCGTACGCATAGGTGGGATTTAATCTACAATTTAACCAATACTTAGTATTTTCAACTATAATTTTTATATTAAAAAAAAATACCAAAAGAAGTGGTATAGCATATCTACGATTAGTAACATGTAGTAAACTTTACACAAACAATTGCACCCACAAAATCTACCTCCGCCAATCACAACCAAATAATCGAAATTAGATGAAGAAAGAAGAGCCAAACAACGAACTTCAGAGGAACCCGCAGAGGACGGAGAATCCGAGGACGATGAGCCAAACGATGTGGAGGAGGAGGAAGGCCTGGCCGGAGACTACTTTCCGGCGCCGTCCGTTGCCGACCTGGCAAACCCGCGCTTGCGCCACGCTGGGCCCGGCGCAGTCGCCCTCGGGCAGCCGACGTGACCCCGTCGACGCCGCAGACCGGGTCGGGTCTGAAGCAGTTGATCGGGCAGGAGCGAGCGGACCCGGTTGAGGGAGCGGGGCAGATGAAGTCCTCGGATCGGGCGAGGGGGAGGAGGAGGAGGGTTAGGGTTAGGGTTAGGAGGAGGATTGAGGGATTTGGGGATGATGGCATTTTTGGGGAATTTTGGAAACCCTAACCCTAATTGCCCCCTTTCTAGAATTAGAAAGGGGGAAAAAAGGCAGGAGGACGCGGTTCTTTGCTTGGCTTGGTCAGGAGAGGCTTTGGAATTTCCGAGTGTGCTTTTGTTGGGTTTCTGTTTGTTGTTGGTTGTTTCATCATTGTCAAATATTATTTTGGGTTACTTGCAGTTTAGTCCTCCAAAGTATACCCATTTCTGACCTTATGTAAGTTTTTCTACAAGCTATTTATATAAGCTTTCAGAAAATTTAACTATGGTACCACACATGTTTAGAGTATCAAAGTTGAATGTTTTTGAATTTTGGGGTATTTTGAGCAAAAAAAAAAAAAAACTTTAGGGTAGCATGGTTAAAAATGATGCAAACATTGGGTACTTAAGTGCAATTAACACTGAAAAATTCAGAGAAGCCGCTATGTTGTGCTCTACTCCGTAATTTTACATTTACTCCCTTCACTTGTCACAAACATCCGTATGATAAACCCACAAACGATATCAAACTGTTAGAGCTTATCGGATCAGTGAAAGACATAGACTTGGAAACTCTGAAGAAAAGAACTTCTTCCATATAGATAAGAGACAAATAACTTTATTAAAATAAGCTATCCAGTTGTCCATGGTCATGTACAACTCAAGCAATTATGTCTACAAGCATCATGCGGCAGGAAGGGAAATTAAAGATTAAACATACAAAGAATAAAGATATGAGAATAAGTTTATAAATAGGACAACGAACATGAAAATTCATTTACCCAAAAAATTTAAAAAAAAAACTCGTTTCTGTCCATTGCAAACCTTAATTGTAATAATTAACTCAAACTATATACTCCCAAAAAGCATGGAACAAAGAAACAACACAAACCATTTGAAAGGGTCAAAGCCAACAAAAGCCTTCCATTATCACCGTTCAAGATCCCTCTAAACTTAGAAAAATTTCAACTCCCTTCCTCCCTATCCCACTGGCTCCTCCTCTCCATTGCTCAACTACCCCAATGACCTTCAATATATACCTACATTGATCCGAAGATCTCCGTTACCATTTTCCTTGCATTCCAAAATTTCCAACTCCACCTTAATTCTAATTGTCACCCGGCTCGATGGGAGGCTGTGTTAGCAGACCCAAGGAGCTGGATGACACCAAACCCATCCCTGCAGAGAAACCTGCAGAAGTCGAGGTGTCCACAAAGCCTGTCGAAGTTGAGGATCATGCCCCAGCTCAGGAGGTATGACGTTCATAATACGTTTACATCTCCCCAAATCCTTTCAGGGATAATTACGGATTGACTCCTTTAGTATCACCCAATTATCAGGTAGACCCTCAGAGTGAAATGGTTTTTTTAACTCTTTACCCTCAGGGGGTCTATTTGTCAAAAACAATTTTCTCTCTTTCTGAGGATAAAAGAGTGTAAAAACATATCAACCAGAGTGCCTATCCACAATTAGCCTATTTTTTATACCGATTTCTCATAAACAACAGCTAGAAACAATGCCTATCTTTACAACAAATTTTTGAGGTGGAAACATGAATCCTGCTCCTCAACTCAGTTCTTTTGAGGCCCAGCTCCTTCATCAAAGTTAATCAAGTTCTTAACAACATTTAACCAAGTTATCTTGGGTCTACCCGTAATCCTCCTTTCTCCATTAATTATAATCTTATTATTTTTCCTAAATCATTTATCCTAATTGGTGCTTATAATAACCTCCTTTAAACCTATCTCTTTCATTTTATCCTCAATTGGAGCGACCTCGAACTTTCTATGAATGCATACATTTCTATTATATCTCTTAGTGTAAATCCAATCATCCATCATAACGTTCTCATTTCTGTTGCACTCATGTTTATACCAATTTCTCATAATTTGTATTCAATCATTTTGGCAGGTGAAGGCTGAAACAACCACCAAGCCTGAGATCAAGGAGGAGCTACTTGTCGACCTATCAGAGTCAAAACCAGAGGCTGAGAAAACCGAAGTCATGGCCTTGGCTCCAGAGATCAGTGAGCAGGTCGATGCACCAAAGGTAGAAGAGACCGCGCCTGTAAAGGAGGACACACCCATTGCAGAACAGGTTACTGTCATCGAGAAGAAAGAAAAGATGGCCGAGACAAAGGCTGAAGAGGCCAAAAATGAGGATGTTGTGGCTGATAAGGAGTCGGAAGATAAGGTTTCTTCATAAAGGGGAGTGGTAATTTGTTATAAAAAAAGTTAAACATCGTGCAATTCCTTGTCTTTGTAAGCAAAAAAAGAAGGGGCTTTGTGATGTATGTTTCGAGTTATTGTGATGATGATGACTGTTGTATTTAAGAGATCAATCATTATCCTCTATCTAATTCCTTTACTCTAAACCTTTACCTTAAATCTAAATTGATAAATGAAGAATGCACATTAATCTTCATGCCACTGGGATTCTCTAATTATAGTACTCTTTGAACCCAGAACAAAGAGGAAAGTACAGATGAGAATGGCTAACCCAATAAAAGATAATTTTTAAGCAGATGACTCGTTTTATTAATATCTTTTATTTACTTATTTTGTAACAGTCCCTGTTAAGGGTTTAACCCGCTACTGACAACATTGCTCGTTACCTTTTCTTTCTGATTTATCCTTTTCTTGATTGAGAATTATAACAACATTGCTTCTCATAGAAAAAAAAATGCCCTAAAGAAGCCCTGAAAACTTCCATAATTATTGTGCAATATACTCTTCCACTCTTGATTTATATAACGAAAAGCAGTCCATAACACTTATGCTTTGACACCTTTAGACCGGATTCACACAAGATACCATATTGTAGTGAACGCTAATATGTTACTTAAAAAAGTACAACAAGTCTTAGTGATATTGGAAACACATCCTTAATCATCATTATGTAAAACAGAGAATAGTACATTCCAACAACATGCATCACCAAAGAACATGAACATATAAAAGAACAGAAGAATTATAGGATTACCAAACCTTAGCCCTTCTTCTGCTTGCTCCCTCCAATAGAAAACCTAAACCAAGGGATCCACACCGACGTAGTCTTTTGATACTGCCTATAGGCTTCAGCTCTGTACTCCTTTTTCAACATCTTTTGTTCAACCAGCAGCGTGACATAAGCCAAACACATGCTATTCACAAGTGGGCCCCAAAACATCCATCCGTAGCCCACATTCCACGCAAACATAAATAGACCCCACCACCACAATTGCTCTCCGACATAGTTTGGGTGACGAGAGTATCCCCATAATCCTTTATCGAGATTGAGCAGAATAGGGGCTCCTTGTTCTTTTAAGGATTCATTCCTTTGGACAAAATTATACAGTTGAGTGTCTGCAAAGTAGGCAACAATGATTCCAGTTATGCAGGTGATTGTGGCGATGAAATCCCAAGTGTCCCAAGGTTTGTTGCTCGAGTGGATAGCATACATTGGCAAGCAAATACCCATCAGAAAAACCTGTTAAGTTACAAGAGCTTGGCACAAGTTAAACTCATGTAAGTGCGAAAATTCAATGATGGGTCTTAATACCTAAACATATTCTGTTTCAAGACCAAGCACAAACTTTAAGTTTAAATATAAGATTAGGATCTGATTTTCGAACTCCCTATCTTCATGTATAGCAAGTAAACCTTATATTAAGTGAAAACAAGAGTTTAGGTCAAACTACGGTTTTATACATAAGATAAAGAAGAAGATCCAAAATATTCCTCTTAATATGAACAAAGCTAAGATCTTCAGGTACAGTCATGCTTTTATTTTGTACAACAATCATCTACAGCAGTCACAATCTCAGCTTAAGTAAGTTCTTTTCCTAATTACACTAAAATACTGTGAATTTACCTCCTTTATCACCAAATTACCATAAACTATGTAATATGAAAGGAAACGTAATATGAAAGGAGACCCTTGTGTATTTTTCCAAACTTGCACTCCAATCTCATGCATCTATTTCTTTAAATAAAAAAAAGATTCTGAATGTAACTACAAGTCTGATTTCTTTTTCTTTTCGAATTTATAGCTAGACTTTATCTAGCATTTATTATAAGGTTCAAACTCATCCCACTCTGAGACAGTGGTTTCCATTAGAACAGTAGCTAAAAGGCCCAGCCTAAAATGCAAGCATGTGTAAATAGTAGAACAACAGACTCATAAACTACCCATCCACACTGCCCCAGAAATTTTCTTCTCTCTTCATCCTCTTATAAGTTATAACCTAATAAAATCCCAAGTCAAACTCTCTAAAACTATCAATCAACCCAAGAAACCTCACACGGGAATTTCCTCAAACACTTTGCAAACCGTTCCGAACCCAAAAAGAGCCAAATTATCAAAACCAATTCTGATCAAAACCCAGACAACGAAAGCCCACCCCAAAAAAAAATCCCAAATTCACCCTCAAATCCCAATCCCAATCAAAACCCAGATCATAAATTTCACCTGCTGGGACAAATAAACAGCGAAAAAAGAAATCCACCACCACTGCTTCCCATGCCGCCTCCTCATATCACTAAACCTCCAGTCCTCCCTCGCTCCCCACTCCCACTTCTCCCTCCTGAAATAGCTATGCGTCAGCCTCAAACTCCAAGCCCACGTCAACAGAACCGACACCCTCGACCTCAGCCCACTGGGCTCTGCTTTCGGGTGGGCTTCGTAGTAATGGGCCAGCATTACGGGGATCACGGTCCAGTAGAGGTCGATCATCCAGTGGTTAGAGAGGAGGAGGCCGATGAGCCAGAAGAGGAGGTTGACGTTGAGGAAGAAGAGGATGTTCGCGAGGAGGAGGGGGCGGTCGGTGCACCATTGATGGAGGTTGGAGGGGAGAGGAAATGGGCTGCTGTTGAGGAAGCAGAGGTAGAAGACGATCGAGGGGAGAGGGACGAGGATGGCGATGATGGCGTTTTTGAGAGAACCCATTTGGGTTTTTGGGAGAATGAGAGAGCGCTGACTGCGATTTGGTTGAAGCGGGATTTGAGCTCGAGGTGCACGAGAGCGGAGTTTAATAATAATAGGTAAGGGTTCTTCTCATGTTGGACCCTAAAGTATATCATATTTTCGTATCTAGTCTCCAAATTTCCATGTTTGTAAATTGGGATTGGGAATTTTTTTAAAATAGACCATTTTGCTAAATATTTAGCAAAATAGATCATTTTGCTAAATATTTAGCAAAATAGACCTCTTGTCGATTTTGAAAAACAAGGTTCAGAAAACATACGCTAAACATACGAGACTAGTAGTTGCTAGAGTAGTGTTATATGCCCTTAAACATCCAATACATTTTTTATTGATTATTAATTGAGTTTATTATTGCACATGTTGTTTGGGTATCTTTTTATATAATTGTTATATTATCCTTAGAGATTATTTTGTTAGATTATGCAATATGATAGTCACTTGCTTGGAGATATGATCTAATTCAGAGATTTCTTAAATTTGTGCTTAACCTATAACTAGTAAAGGATAGCTTAGTTATGACAGGTTATTATGAATAACAACGACATATTAGATGTGATGGTTGATCTCAACTATCGGAAATGAAGATTCCCCGGGTGTATGTCATAAGCGCATATTTGATATGTGCAGCGCAAGACCTTATTTGGATTCTCTAGGAAGAGTCACCTAAGAGAGAGAGAATCTGAATTGTTACATGGTCCCTTAGACTTGATGATATTATCATTTTCGATTTGATAATCTAATATACTTTGATATGATGGTTAAGCTTGTTTTACAAGTGTTATACAGCCTGAAATATTGGGTTATTAGATTTTATTTAGCGAAGTGATGGATATGTAAATAGGATCCGGTATACTCATTTTTATGAGTTAATTTATTATGCATATCCCATGAATATATTAAATTCCCGTCGACGGGTGGTTTTTTAAAAATTATTTTTCTAAATTTATTTTCTTATAAAATAAAATATTTTTGATGTTTTGAAAATGTTTTTTATTTATGATCATGGGATTGCAATTTTAGGAATGAGCAAGTAGGTGATTTGTCCTGCTCAATAAAGTTTCCTAAAATCAATTGATACTGGAGGGGACAGAATGTAAGATAATATTATTCACGAATATTTAATCTCATATTATGGAAGAGCTTTTATGAACAGTTGGTCGGATAGGGATTTGATTGTTAAATTAAAATTATTAATTTGATTAATAATTGGTTCTCGATATAGGACCCAATTGGTCTCACTGATGTCATTAGAAGAGGTATGCATACAATATAATTCTAATTCTATCCTTAATTGTTATGGATAAAGTTTTTGAACAAATCTATTTCTATCCTAATTGTTATTATGGATAAAGTTTTTGAACAAATCTATTTCTATCCTAATTGTTATGGAAAGAATATTCTATCTTTAAATATTATGGATACTATCCTAATTGTTATGGAAAGAATATTCTATCTTTAAATATTATGGATAAGAGTTTTAAACAATTAAGATTGTTTTGAAATTAAAATCCATAAGGCAGATCTAATCCTATATATAGGGCTCATATATAGCCTCAAAAAGGGATGAGAAAAAGAAATAGATTTTGAGAAACTATCTCTCTGTATTGTTCCTTTTCGGTGACGGGTGGATTTCAGTTGGAGGCTTTTTCTCTTGAGAAAGCTACTGTATTGATCTTGACACTGATTATCAAAGAAATTCAGAAAGCGTTTCAGGTATTTTTCTAGATTTTAATTAATTATGATTAATCTACATGATATGCATTTTTTTGTTGTATTGTATATTATGTTTCCAACAGTAATCCTGTATGTTTTCTGAGCCTTGTTTTTTAAAATCAGGGTTGAAGTGCTGTTATGGGATCCATCATTAACTATGAGCAATAGTTGGAGCAAAAACAAGTAATTATTAAATGATACCTAGATTAGAAAAATCTCCCTTAAAATGTACGTTTTAAGAGAGAAAGCAATGCAGCCGCAAAATCCATCATTACTCCATTTTCTGCTTTCTAAGATATCCACTTAATTTATGTTGAGAGATAATGTGCTATATGCAGGGCGCATTTAGTAATTACTTGTTTTTGTTGCAACTACCGCTCATAATGATTGATCCTATGCTTTTGATTTTGATTATGCGTGCTTGGTGTGGCTAGTGATAATGATGCCTGGCACTGGGCATGGAATCCAGCCATCAGACACGGTTCAATTAAGGAGGACGTAATGATAAGTGTACTATAACAAAAACTTACATCCAATTTGGTTCCTTTCACTTTATATATGATTACTAGAAGAAATATCAGAAATCAAATGAAATGAAATCATGATCTATTCGTTTCGCTATCATCAAATGCAAGTATTTCAACTAGAACACCAAAAAATTTGTAGGCACCAATCCATATGAAAGAAAGTTTTCCACAAATAACTACACATAATTCTTTCCTTTGACTTAAAATATTTCACAACCAACAATCGCGTATTCATTTAAATAAAGAGACAACTTTATTTCAGAAGAAGAATGAATACTATAACCCCCAAGTGTATTACCATAACGATTGTCATAAACTACAATGTAACCACAAGATACAATAAGGTTGTCAACCAAGTAAATCAAGCAACATCCATAAAGGAACGCGTATCAGAATCATGTTTCTGATATCATTATTGATATTCTTCCCTTTTCTGCTTCTTTTTGAGCTTCTTCAATAGTTTCTTTTCCTGCCTCATAGAAGGCTGAAGGCTATCAGAAGGCGCGGCTGCTGCAATCTCTTCTTCTTGAGCTGGTTTTGGCTCTTCGGGAAGAGTAGAGTGGAGAAATCTCTTGGCATTGCCATGGTGAGTGCAGAAAAGTTTGAGCATCTTCCTTCCCCTCATCCATTTCAGCATTATCTTCATATGGGTTTTGCTGCTGAGCCCAGCAATGCCTGCTTCCTATTGAATAGGAGCAAATGAATCAGTAAGTTTGGTTTCTTACTATAAACAAAAAGATTTCAACATATTCTTAGGAGACTTAACCATTGTGCATTTTCCTGTTAGAAAACTATAATTCTATGGAAGAATTGCGTTTTCACAATCACATAAGAGTAGGTGCTTGGCTTAGAATGTTCATTTAAATAAAAACTTGGTTTAGAACTTATTTAAACGTGTATTCTTTCTTTTTATGCAAAGGCATCTCAATAGTTATATACAGCTCTAGTTTTTATCCCCTGAGAACTTTTAATTTAAATGAAGATGTGCTGTTATATTAAACGTATGCTAGAACATGTGTAGCGTGGTGTAGGATATAGGCCAAAGATACTACACAGAGGCCCCCCCCCCCCTAAAAAAAATATAATAATAATAATAATAATAATAATAAAGGGCCAACATGACAAAAAATTCCATGTTTTATGTATGCATATGCGTGCAAATATGCACATGCCTCGAGGTAAATCCTAAAAACAACAAGGTCAGTCATGACTCATGAGACATATTTGCTTAAATATCAAGAATAGCAAATGATGATTTATAACCAAACATATATATATAATTTTACACGCAAACATTAACATGATCAGAATGGTTTTATGCAGTTGCCAGGCATCGGTCCTAGTCATCATCTCCCAGCATGGGAAGTTTCGTACAATACCTTAACTTTACGATGCTACTAATAAACTAATTTTCCGATAAGTTGAGTCTACCGCTTTACTCTAGAGAGTCTTATGCTGGCTCTAACCTCTTGGAATGGCTCACTGTTTTATTGTCTATTGCATCTTGGCAATTTCTGGCTGAATTTGTATTCTATGTCATACGCCACCTCTCACCAAGTTTCCATTGCCTATTGTCTAAAACTCTACAGTAAAAGATCGTAACACGAGAAGTGACATCAATGGATCAAACGATAAAAGGTAGTCGTGATCCTCTCCTCAGGAAAATTCCCCAAGGACCCAAAATATGGGACCAACAGAGGGAACAGGGAAGATATCCCCCTCCTATTGCATAATGAGCTGACCATCATTGGTCTCATATTTTGGGGCCCCGTAGCAACACTCCTCTCCTCATCATCCTAACGCATTTATAAATGCAATCATTAAAATCTATAGAACTAACAAGGGAACATATATGGACTTCACACGAGAAAGTATCCGGTGAGGATGGTCCATGACATTTTAATGTGCACCAAGTAGATGTCAGCGTTCGGATTCGTGCAATGATTGACAGCCCTATGGCGTGCACGCTTGATGCCGGGGATCGGGGACCATGCGATACTTTCTCGACCCATCTAAACATCCCTCAGATAGCAAGCATTATGATCATGACACTACAATTACTGAAGCATTCCATCAAACACCTCGCGAGCACCTCGTAGACCTCTCCATTCGCAAAACCCACCGCTTGGTTATGCTTACCTTAGCGTGATTCCAAGTGTTGGCGACCGACAGAGGACCTCTCTCCTTGATAATCTTATAGAGCTCTTGAGAGATTGCCTTCGCCTCCTCCCTCGGCACCTTAGGGTTTATCCTCCTCAGATCTGGCGCGCATTTCCGAGAGAAATGCCGAACCAAGTTCATCGCCACCGTCGCCGCCCGGCCGCCACCGCCGCCGCCGCGGAACAGCATTTTTCGCCTCGTCTGCTCGCTCTCTGGATTCTTCAGTGCGAGTCTCCCCTTGTTGTTTGAGAGGTCATGAGAATTATGAGCCTCACGGATTCTTTTGTTTAGCCCACGGCCCAATTAAGGCCTTCTGGATCAAAACTTGCCTTGATGGTTAAAATCTCGGGGAAATGCTGACCAGGCCACGAGAGTTGTGTTATTTTTATTACTAAAAAACATAAAAAATAATGGCTCATAAAAGCAATGATTTCTTACTGCAGTTTTGACTTTATATTTTTGTGTCTTTTAGTCGATTTATAACTACTCAAATTCCAAACCAATCAGTAAGATGATGAATATAGCGTAACGTTATATGAGAAAGTATCCACCGGAAACATGTCCATGACATTTAATGTGTACCAAATAAATGTAAATGTCAATTATTGAATCAATATGTACTAAATGGCATCGACCATTGAATTCATGTACGAATCCCGAAGTCAGATGTTTCAGTTGTTAAGATTCCTTTGGCGCCCATTTAACATCACGGGTCCGAAAAAATTTGATCTTTTTCCCAAGATTATAGAGAGCATTTTATCTTGAGTTGAGTAATAAAAGGTATAGTTTATTTAAGAACATGGGAGCGCTGGTCTAACTACTCTCTATCAACATATTAGTACCCCAAGTATGGGGATAAAGGAGTAGAATTCTTATCAAAACATCTCACCATATGCATATGGGGGTGATCTGAACTTTATATGAGGAACATGAAACACCGAAAGTATCCTCATTTTGGTATCTATCATTAGAAGGACAAATTTTCAAAATCAACCTTTTTAGCATTTTAAATAGCAAAATCGACCTTATCTCATTTTATTCAGCAAAACCGACCCTTTTCTTTTAAAAAGGGTCGGTTTTGCTGCAAGAAGTTTTTTACGACATACACGGGACTGCTAGTCCCGTGTATTTCAAAATACACAATGAAATGCACGGGACTAGCAGTCCCGTGCATTTTACAGATAGCAACGAACCAAGGGCACAATGAAATGCACGGGACTAGCAGTCCCGTGCATTTTACAGAGAGCAACGAACCAAGTGCACGGGACTGCTAGTCCCGTGCACTTCCTGGGCACAATGAAATACACGGGACTAGCAGTCCCGTGTATTTCCTGTACATAATGTGCAGAAATACGTATTTCTGCTGCGGGAAAATTCCCCGTACAAACTCATTTCAAATGCAACAATCATAAATTACACCATTGCATAAACACATATATCAATTCCCTATACAAACTCATATGTTAATTCCCTGTATAAACACATATATCAAATCTAAAAATCATAAAATACACCACAAACTTATGAATCCAAATCCAACAAATCACGCCACAAACCCACTTACAAATCTAATAAGTCACACCACAGTCTCCGCTACAAATCCAAAAACCATTTATTGTCTTGAAATACGTTTGTAATGTACATATCAAAATAGGATTGTAATTTATATAACAATACCGATTAGCTTATATACATCCAAGAACTCTTCTCCTCCTCCTTTGTCTTCGGCTTCCTCCATCCCGACCTTCGATGAGTTCATGATCCGGTTGCGTTTGTGGTTATGACGGTCCAGCTCCGTCGTCAACACGTTGGGAAGGCCCACCTTCATTGTCGTTTCTGCATCGTCCTCGTCTTTGTCGTGGTTGACGTGTGTATACTAATTGCGCTACCTCTCGTCCATCATGAAGGTCTTCATGAGTTCGATGTAAGGCTTGGTGAAGCCTCTGCATTATCGACTGATATATTGATGCATGTTTCTGTGCTTCGGGATATGTACCTGCGAGAGATAATTCAAAAAAATCTGAAATGCAAAAATTACTGTAAAATTCAAATTATAATATGTAAATTTTATATTTAATTCTATATTACCTGCTCGAGCTAATTCCAGGCCACGATTTGCAATGGTTTGAACATCATCTATTGTTGATACCTGCAAATTTTAAAAAAAACATAATTTAGCAATATTGAAAAATACTAATAAAAATGAATAAATTTGAAAATACTTACTAATTCTCTCTCATCTATACCCCGAGGCACATATCCTCTTTGCAACTCAACCGGGGATGTGGTCGCATGTCCCATTCCATCTACAGAGTATTACATATAATTGTTGCATATCATTAAAACGAAAGTTGATATATAGAAGAAAAAACTCGTTTTTATAGAAATGATACCTGAAAAATCTTCATGCGGTCAAGCTCATTTCGGTAGAAATCTAACTGTCTCGCCGGGGTCTCGTCAAAACATTTTTGGACATTCCATCTGTGTTAGTTTCAAAATTCAGTACCAAATGAATAACTACAATTATATTTACTACGTTAAAAAATATAATACCTGCATCCTAGTGGAATTTGTCCGTCTAATTGTAAATTCACGTATAGTCTCGGCTTCAAATGCACCATCTCCCATGCCCATACTTGCAGTAAGCTGAGACACCCTTTGAGGTCACTATTTTTCATCAATGCAACCTTAGACATCTCTCTATATAGGTACGCCAAAACCGCACTACCCCACGATAACGCACCACACGTGTCCAAGTCCCCGATAAGTGGTAACCACCTAGCATTTTCACAACATTGACTCTGTTATCAAAATAAGCTAAATCAACAGACATAATTGTAAATACTGATAAAAATGATACCTGACATGCACTTTATCTTTACTCGAATCTGGAAATAATATTGAACCGATCATGTGCATAATGTATGCACGTGCATGTTGCTCAATCAATATTGGCGGCGCATCAAAAGGCAACGGTACCGAGAAGGTATCTTTTAGCCACTTCAATTTAATATTTCCTCCAGGCATTAACTCTGGAGCTACACCTAACAACTCCTCACACTTTGTCGGCCAAAAATGTCTATCACTGCCGGTAACGCACAGACCATCTATGCGGAGACCAAGTATCATAGCTACATCCTGTAGCGTAATAGTAGACTCTCCCATTCGGAAGTGGAAAGTGTTGGTCTCCGGCCTCCACCTATCTATCAAAGCGGTGAGTAGGGGCCAATCGAGCCTCATCCAACGAAGCTTTGAACATGTCAAGAAGCCGGCCCGTCCTACAGCTGCTATTATGCGCTCATCCTCTAGATGCCAACGGCTATGGCTGAGGCTATGATCAACCATAACAATATCCGGGCCTCTCTGTAAAGCAAATGAATATATAAGAATACAATATTATAAGAATGCAATATTGAAATTATAAGAAACTTAGTTACCTCTGTAAAGGATATAACATGTGAACGGTGTCGAGGCTGGTCATATAGGACCTCATCACTAATCGGTCCAGGCTCCATGGTGTATATACCTGCACATACAATTATAACATATCAATAACCGATCCACGACTAATTATATTGTCTACATTAAAATAAATCACAATTTGAATATGTCAATTATTACCAATTAATTGCTATCTATTGAGTCTAGCTGGACAACGAGGTCGAGTATGTCCCGGTTGTTTGCAAAGACTACATTTTTTATGCTTGACAATTCCTTCTCGTCCTTGATCCATGGTTCCCCTAATTCGTACAGATCGTGGTCGACCTGCTTGTCTCTTGTATTGAGGTGGAATTAGTCGTGGTCCAGTATATTCGGGCCAATACCGACTATCATCGGGTGGATGAAAACTCTCACTGTATGTCTTTCGGTAATGAATTGTTGAATACCATGGTGAACAATACCGATTATATGGAATTCTCGCACCACCCGGCTGATTGGAGGAAGCCGCAAGAACATGTGCACAAGGTATATTTGAAGTTGTGGTATGTTACATGTGCAAATGCAATCAACATCAAACAGTTTAACGGTGTAGATACCGTCATAATCCTGTACCTACCATTTATTGTCATTGAATACAGTAATTTGACATAATCTTGCTGCCTCAATTCTTCTATGCAAAATAGACTCATTCTTTGGTGTGTAACGCGTTGTCCAGTCTACACCGTCCTCACGCCTTTTGTTGAAGTATGAGTTTAGCCTATAGACCGTTCTTGCAACCAATGATTGTATTGGCATAGCTCGTGCTCCTTTAAGAACGCCGTTAAAGCTCTCGGAGCAATTAGTTGTCATCATGCAAAACCACACACCCTCATCCTTACATAATGCCCCGAATTGAGGCCTCAAGTTATGTTCAATCCAATTATGTGCATCTAATGACAAAGACTTGATCTTCTCTCTACAATGTTCATACACTAATGTATCGGTTGCACACCCAGCTTGCCACAAAAGATTTTGCAAATTAATCTCACCGTGTTTTTTCTTAAAATTATCTCTTATATGCCTCAAACAATATCGATGGTGATGTGGTGCACCAAAACCCTCATGTAATGCCCTTATAATTCCTTATCCGAGATAAAAATAATTAATCTGGGCGCACGGACACTAGGAATCCACTTGTATATAAGTTCAAAGAACCACTTCCAACTAGAAGTATCCTCTACCTCCACAACTACAAATGCTAGAGGAAATAAACTGCCATTTGCATCTACACCGGTCGCCACAAGAAGCACGCCTTTGTACTTGTCATATAGATGTGTACCGTTAATGCTCAATAACGGACGACAAAAAGTGAAGCCCTTAATAGCCGGACCAA